TTAGGGGCTGAGTCGACCCCAGGGCCATAGTGCGGCTGGAATGATTAGGTCAATTGAAAAATCCAATGACCTCGTCGAGAATCGAACCGCGACCTTCCGGCTGTGTGGTAGGAACTGAAATTTTATATAATATTTACATAATTTCTGGATTGAAAGGTTTAACATGTTTCTCTCAAATATATTTCCTGTCACTTCAAATGCTCTAATGAAATTTTTAAATGTTTGTTATATTTACTGATATGTACAGTCTCAAATGAAATGCTTAGACAAAAAAATCTTACCACCAACGACTTTCCTGAATTGTATTTACATAACACAATGCAGACAACTCTCTATACATCTTCTGTCATTAAGTCAAATGCATATGGTTTAAGTCGTGCAAATTTAATGCATGCTACATTTTAGATGGACACGAATGTCGAATTAGTAAATGGAAGAAATAAACAAAATTTGATTTAAAATAATGGGTATTAGGAATTTTGACATTTAATCCAATAATGTGATGAATTATATATACACCAATTTCATGATAGCCAGATATAAGCAAGCCTATATACAGAGTCATCAACAAACTATCGAATAATGTAGTCATTTTTCGATAAATCCACTTACCAAATTAACCGGACGTCAAAGCGTCTAATTAACCTAACATGCTAATGGTAATATATATACATGATTAAATATATAAAACGTCAAATGTTAAAAGATTAGATTATTAAAATATGGTGGTGCTAATTAAAGTTGATGATTAGAGTTAATAATAACAAATAGAGTGGAAGATGATTCTATTTTCTACTAAGCAGAGGATTTTTAAGCAAACCGGTTAGACGATAATATAGAAATTGATAAGAGAAGGGAGAAGAATAAGAAAAATAAGAAGTGGATGTATAATACATGGGACTTATCTTTAATTAGTTCTGTATAATGTAGAGGAGAAATAAGTGAATAGAAATAGTACAGTTAGACAAGGCAAAATTCTCTATTTGCAGCGAGCGAACACACAAGTTGCTGACACAACAGAGTATGTAGCACGGAAAGGCGCGTTAGTATCTTATAAGCAAAGAATCACATGGTGGTTGGGTTTGGGGTGGTTGGCTCTACTACTGAATAGACCTACGTGTGTTATAGGGAAGTGAGTTTTCGTTTACAGGTAGATCAGGGGAACTACGTGAAATCGCAAGAAGGAACCGAAATCAGGGAGTGGTCTCTAGAATAACAGCGAAATAGAAAAATACTAATTGAAGAAAGTTATAATTACGTAAATAAGAGTTAGAAAGCATAGAGGAAGGAATTGCTAGTAGAAACGGGAAATACATAATGAAGTGGACGTAGAGATACATGGGGAGAAGGGATGTGGGTACATGAAATTTGTGGAAAGGCAGCATTCATCGGGGATCAATCCTTCAATCCAACATTCCAGAACACAAGGCATCGAGCTTCCATTCAATCTAATCTACGAATTCATTTCAGAATAATAATAAGAATAATAAATAAACGCATCCACGTGACTACTCCATACGTTGGTTAAAAAGAGCAAAAAAAAGGGGGGGGGGTCAGGGTTATATAAACATGGAAAATTCCGTGAAGTAAAAAAAAAAATTAACTCTGATTAAAAAAAGGTACAGACTAGTCATGAACATCATGAGCAGCAGCAGGAGCTGTGTGGCTTTTCTGCAGTTTTTAGTTTGCTTTTTTAGCGGAAACACAACTTGCCTCCCGCCTGCAGTTTCTGCAGTTCCTTCAGCGAGACTGCAGACACGTCAGAATGGCGCCGCAACTCTGGGGAACGTGGGGGAGGCACCAGCATAGGGTCTGTTGCTGACGACACTGGGAAGCATGAACTCCTTCTCTTGGCTATCTCGTCCTCCTCCTTACTCAATGCTGTGACCTTGCTGCTTAACTCCTTCAGTGCCGACGGTGAAACATCAGAATGCCGGCGACGCTCAGCTCTCGGCAACATGAGGGCCAGTCCGGCCCATTTACCACCTGCCAACAGTTGTCACCAGTTGCAACTGCAACATTAAATATCTCTCCATTTTGTTTATATTTCCTGGGAAGTTTTAACAGCCTAAAGAAGCGCGTATTACCGCTATGAAGATAAGCAGGTTTATGGTGAAGGTGATGCAATTGTGGCTGAACAAGTGCTGCTTTCAAAAACCAGTACAGTGTTTTGTCAGAATGTGGAGATACGTAGATGATGAAGCCTTCAAGTGAACAAATGTAACATAGTGCCAACTAACTGAAGACTGAACTGGTGCTGATGGTGAAGAAATATTGACTTGTTTATAACTCGCGCAGATCAAATTAAAGTGAAGTGCCAATATGAAAAGCCAATCAGTGTATGTATAGTCAAATGTTCAATTCTTCAATTTAGAAAGATGCAGGTGTCATTTGAAAAGTGTACATTGAACAGTGGAGTTATAGATCAATGGTTGTGATTTGGCTGGTTGTCGTGAAAGTGACAGTAAACAGACATTGCTCTGAAATTGAACTGATGCAGAAATAAAGTAAAGCAAGAGGATATGGACACGTCAAATAATATGAAGTTAAACGCTGCAACAGATGCTGTTGCAGATTTTTTTTTTGTGGTGTAGAGTGATATCAAAGTGCAATTCGTGATACCATTTGCATTCAATGGGAAAATGCTGGGATCCTAAAAGCAAGGTATGAATTTGAGTAAAGAGTACGTGGGACTTTTTGGTGAAAAAAGTGACACTTTGACATATTTTTCCTCAAATACTCCTGTTTCTCCTACCAATTCCTAGTCCACTAAACACTCTAATTATCTTTTTCTATCATCTGGATTTCGTACACTAGACCATTTACTAAGTTAAAATTTCGAAGATTAAACCGCGCGATTATAAGATGTTCGTTGGGACAATGTGAAATAAATTCTACGACATTGAAACATGAAAAGACCGGAAACCACATTTAAATCCGAAATGATGCAGATGGAAATATGATAAACATAATCTGTCATGACATTACTCTTTTAAGTTTATTATTCTGAAAAATAAAATATATTTCATGGTTACAAATTCAAAAACCCCAAATGGATATGTGAAAAAAAACCTTACACAACCTTAAGTTAAATATTTCGTCATGTGTTACTTAAAAGAGTTAGCAATTCCTGCAATGTTCTCATGAAACACACATAATTTAAGGTATGATTTTTTTTTACAGTTTATCGTCTGCATCTTGTAATTAATGAAGACAGAATTTTAAAAAAGAAACACCTACAGCCTTACGCAAGTTAACGAGCTGAACTTTAATTTGTAAGTTAAGCGTAAGATTTTCGAAAGAGCATAAGTTTTATGAAAGCTATTTAAGTAAAAGTACCATGAAAAAGAGATCCATAATAGCTATAAGGCTCTTTTATTTTAACACTCAACGTGTCTCAACCACGACACTTTTAAATAACAGGAAAGACGAGACTTGCAAATAAAACCTGGATGTGACATGTATCGGGGGAGACTGCATAAAGCCAGCATTACAAAACAAACAGTGTACAGGAAAGAGTGGACACTTGGAATCAAGATGCAAATATGTCGACATTAACTGATTTATCCTACCGTTGTGTACCAGACAAGAAGCTTACAGACAATCGCTGATTAAATCCTGCAAACATATCACCATTGATGAGAACTGTAACGAAAGAACTTAAGAAGAGCCATGCCTCCCAGGATGTGATGCAGTGTAGCCTGGTAGAATTTTACAGACATTTATGAGGATCATCTAGAAATCAACCTGGAAGCACGTTCTCTGCTTAATTATTTTTTTTAATTGCTAGTGGGGCGGGACTAAGTCCCTTGTACTACGGCCACTTCTGGCCTATTGTACCAGTCCCAGATGATAGGTGAGGGTGATTGTGGAACAATTGGTGGAATGAAGATTGGCAGGGTAAACCGAAGTACTCGGAGAAAACCTGCCCCAGCGCCACTTTGTCCACCATAAATCCCACTTGACCAGACCCGGGATCGAACCCGGAACGCCGCGGTGAGAAACTGGCGACTAACCGATTGAGCTATGGCGCTGCCCTCCGTTCTCTGCTTACTTGGGTTACATGTGAACCTTTAAATATGGCAGAAAAATGTTGCTCAAAAACGTCTGCAAACTACTCCAGAATACATGGCGTTACACCCTACATGATCATACCCTTAATATTTGCCGCCGTGAGAACTCCGATCTCACGACATAACTTGATTAAAAGACATAGAGATGATGTGGCCATGAGAAACTAATCATTGCCAGTTTCCAAGGGTCTCAGTAATGCCATGATAATGTCCTCTTTATTTATAAACACTCTGACACACGATTTGAAATATATTTATATTGTGACGTGCTATATGACGTCCATCGCTACGCAACGGCTGAAATTGGAACGCATACTTCGGCGACAACGAATACATGGAAATTGTTGAGTTCCCTCAGCGACGAAATGAATACCACAAAGACTGAAGCGACATTATCCACACTAGACGTCACAAGACTGTCAGTAGCACGAATTCTGAGAATAAATTCCTTCGCACTTTTCTACGTATCTTTTTGTAGTTTAAGCTATAAATAGTGCCTCAACTATACTCAGTTATGTAGCAGTGTTTAAACAGAAGTGCTATTTTGAAATATGCTGCTTCAGTATATGTAGAAATTACGTCATAGCTGAGAACGTAGTACCTTGAATACGGTAGGTCAAGTTATAAACTACACAAATTTAACTTACGTAGCCTGATACGTTAGTCATCATCACTAAATAAACATACACAATTCCACTAATTAGTACCAAATTTACATAGTCAGTAGTTCCAACCATCGAATATATAGGGGGTCCGGATGAAACGTATCCAAAATGAAATCATTATATCTCAGAAATAATTTATTATACACATTTATCGGTTACACCATTACAAAAGGAAAATATCAAAGTTTTTTTTCAGAGTGTATAACTTTCTCAATAAATTTAAACGTGGGCTCCCTTGGTGGCACGACAAATATCCAGACGATATTCGACCTCGTTCCACGTTGCTTGAAGCACGTTTGGTGTTACCGTAGCCACAGCGTCCCTTATGCGGGCTTTCAGTTGTTGCAGGTTGTTGAGCTTAATTTGACAGACAAAGTTCTTCACATAATCCCACAAGAAAAAATTCACTGGGGTTAAATCTGGCGACCTAGGAGGCCAAGCGATTGATTCATTTCTGCCGATCCATCTCCTAACCATCCCTCTGTCCAGGTGATTCCCAACATCGTGGCAGAAATGTGGCGGCGCATGCGCGTTAGCCGGGTATGAAAAAAAAAACTTTCAGAGTTTTCCTCCCGATGACATAAACCGGATACGTGTATGACAATTACTACTTTCCGAGATATACATTTTTTATTTTAGATACATTTCATCCGGACACCCGGTATAACACTCCGCCTTCTCCAAACATAAGCATCTTCTTAAGAGCCCACCCCCTCCAGCGATAATTTTGGTTAATTTGATTAATTAAATTCTTCAATCTGTGACCGACCAATTGTTGATTCAGAGATGAAGTCCAGGCTGTTGCAGAGCTCATGGGGCGGTGATACGTTTGTATGATGAACATGGAGGGGAACCCGAAGAAACTCGTAGGAAATCCCGGTCCAGTGCCATTTTGTCCATCACGGATCTTTTATGAACCCGAGGCTCTGCGATGAGCGCCGCGCGTCAAAAGTATGAACTACGGCAGAGTCCAGTAATGTGACTCGCGGTTATGTTCACGATAAGAACATTTTTATATTGAACTTGATATAATTGCATGTTAAAACCCCGTGTTTATGTTCGTGGTGTTCACTCTAAAGACAGACGCTTGAAACAGATTAAATTAGTATAATACAGTGAATAGATTTTCGAGTGCGCACTTAGGTGGTTCTCTGTCTAGTGTGGCCGATCCAAAACACACAAAATCCTTTCACGGAAGTGCTGTCTATGCAGCTACTTTACTGAACTGCAAATTAACTTATTGAGATTATCTTGTGGAATTATTTTTTACGTTCCAAACGAAAAGTTTAAAAATGCTTACAAATATTATATTTTTCGACATTATCAATCGTCCGGTCTTTATCTAAAAACACCGTCATGTTTATTTTTCAAAACACAACTTTTCGGAGTCTGGATTGTGTCTCCGTCTTCAGTTAAAACCTACTCATTTGGGCCCAATCGATAGAGCTAGTCCCTATCTCCAGAGATTCAAAATAAATGCGAAATATTAAAACGCAAATTCATATAATATTGCAAAGAAAATTCAAAGTCCGTTCTTCCTCGGGTCAGAGTGTTCTATTTCATTTGTCAAAACAAATTATTTATTCTGACTTTGCTCTTAGACATACGTACACCTATAACCATACATACACACTCAGAGATGCATACATCATAAAGCAAGTACACACAGTGTCTCCATATAAAACAATTACTGCACTCATTTGTAGCTGGAATAGTAAACTTTTCTGTTTCGAAGGATTGGACAGTGTGGGCTTTAAAAGAGTATAAGTCCATTATTAATCGAGGCACTGCTCTTAGGTGTCTAATATATTACCACACATCCCACATATCAAGTTATGACAGCCCGTCAGTTACACTTACATCAAAACAGTTCCCATGTCTCGAGCGGCAATGCTTCTGACACGTACTCAAGATGTGCTCTGTCTGAATCCCGGCTGAAATACGCATTATCCTGAGTGATGAAGGATTTGGAGACCTCACAGCTGTGGTTGTGAAGAGTTCTGTCTCTTGGGATATAATCCGTTGAAAGTCATACGTCGTTCCGAAGGACCATATCCATCTTCAGGGTTCAAGAGTGTGCAAAACACGGCGTTATGTTCCAAAAGATAGAACTTTTCATAACCTGACTGATGTTATTCGTGGTTTTCCTCAGTCCATAAAGGAAAAGGCAGGGACAGAACTTCAAATTCGACCACAACCGTTTCCTTCCATATTTTTCAAATTCATTATTCATTATGAGCCACCCTGA